TCGATCCGGGAGGAGACGTGACGGCCGCGGCCGGGGAGTGGTCGGCCGTGGCCCTGCCTGAGCCCCTGCCTGTCCCGGAGCTCCCTTGTGCCCACTGGCCCCTCGGATCCGCCCCGTTCCCGCCCCCGGCTCCCCCGCCGGCTCCTCAGCCACCCCCGCGGCCCCCGGGTCCCCCGCCGAGCCCCTCCCACCCGCCCGCCCAGGTTCGAGTACCTGTTCAACTTCGACAACACCTTCGAGATCCACGACGACATAGAGGTGCTGAAGCGCATGGGCATGGCCTGCGGCCTGGAGGCCGGCAGCTGTTCCGCCGAGGACCTCAGGATGGCTCGGAGCCTGGTGCCCAAGGCGCTGGAGCCGTACGTGACAGGTCAGCCAAGCCCAGGGACGAGGGCGGCCCGGCCGGGGGGGTGTGCTGCCTCCCGCTCCGTGGGTTCTGCTGGGCTTGGGCCTGAGTGGGGGAGCTGGCTGCCAGATGGGTGGGGCCCGGTGGGGCGGGCTGTGGCCACGCGGCCGCGAGAGAGCTGGAATGCCCTGGGGAGCAGGAGGCCGGGGGAGTGGCTCTCTGGAGGGGGCTGGGGCAGCGGCTCCCGGTGGTCAGTGGGTGTCCAGCCACAGAGCAGACACATGCTTCGGAGGCACAGCCGCTTGCTCCCTGAGGCCACGCAGCTCTCGTGGTCCTGGCCCTCCTCCGTGCTCGCAGGACCTGGCCACAGGTAGGAGAGACGGCCTTGAGGGGCTTGTGCGATGATCCCTCCGGCCCCTCCTGGCTTGTTCCGAGGGGGCCAGACCTCTCCTCCCACACGGAGCGCCTGGCTTGATCCCGGCCACCCGGCTTGTGGGGGACGGCGTTTGGCCCCGCTTGTCGCCAGCAGCCCACGGGGACTGGACCCCTGGCCTCCGGTCGCTGTCCCGAGCTCCACAGGCTCTGGGCCCGGTGGGGGAAGAGCGGCCGTGCCCATGCTGTGATTCCCATTCTGTCGTGGGGTGGGTGTCACTGGTGGGCCTTACGCACGTGGCACGCTCCGTGGGTATCTGTGTGTCTTACGGCTTCCTGTGCCTGTTGAGAAGAGGCAGGCTCATGTGGACGTCCTGTTCTGTGGCACCGAGCGGGACTTGGGGGCAGTCAGGGCTGCCCGGGAGCCTCCCCACCGTCCCGCGGCATGTGCGTGACCGTGTGCTGCCACCCAGGCACCCGTGGTGCTTGTCTCCTGACGGTGCGGTTTGGTGTTTTCTCTTCGCAGAAATGGCTCAGGGATCGGTTGGCGGCATGTTCGTCACGACGGCCGGTTCCACGTCTAATGGCACGAGGCTCTCTGCCAGGTGACAGCGGTGGGGGGTGAGGGAGGACTGGTGTCTGGGCGTCCCCCGGGGTCGTAGGCCGAGGTTGGGCGGCCGTCTCCCCGGCTGCGAGGATGGCCTGGCCCGTGTTGATGCCAGGCCCCTTGTGCTCAGCACGTGATTTGCGTGTGCGGGCCACGGGCCTTGCAGGGGCCACGCCACTTGTCCCGTGTGGAAGAGGCTTGGCTTTCTCCGTTTCTTCTCCCTAAAAACTAAAAGGAATGCATGGTTTCAGCTTGAAAAAAGCAGCACGCAGTGAAGGTGGTGTAAGACTGCCCGAATCCCACTGCTCATGGCAGCCCATGTGGCAAGCCTTTCTTTCTCCCCCTGTGTTTTTACAGACAAATCCAAGGTCACAGTGCATATGTGATTTCGTGCCATGCTTTTTTCCAAACCCTTTCTTTGGATTGTGCGTGTTTTCACAGCACGGAGGGAGCTTTGCTGTTTTTTTTGTTGTTGGTTTTTTTCCGAGTTGGAGTCTTTGTTATTTATGCATGTGCGCCCACGCTTTGGCCGGCAGTCCCTCAGAGATAAGTAAGATACTGTTGCAGTAAAGGTTACAAATCACACTGTTACATGATGTGTTACTTTGTGCTGACCTTACGGCTGAGGGGAATGTGCAGTTAACGTTCTCAAGTAGAAGTTGGCATCGAGACCTCCTCTCTACAATAAATCAAAAAATCGGCCGGGCGTGGTAGCGCATGCCTGCAATTCCGGCTACTCGGAAGGCTGAGGCGGAAGGGTCGCCGGAGCCCAGCAGGTCGAGGCTGCGGTGGCCGGGAGCGGCCACTGCAGTCCAGTCTGGACGACAGCATGAGACTCCGACTCATAAAAGAAAAAGCAGTTGGCATCTGCAGGCCCAGCTGACAGGGCTGGTCTAGGTCGCGGTGAGGCTGCGCTCGTGTTGTGTGTCCTGCTTCCGGCTCCACAGCGCTAGTGAGGGCACGTGTGGGCGCTGGGCCCCTCTGGGTGGAGAGCCAGGTCCACCGGTCTCGGCCACCTCCCCACAGGAGGGGCCGTGGCACTGGCTGTGGGCACTGGGGTCCGCGAGACCGTGGTGACGGGCGTGGCACTTGGAACGTGGAACAGTGGAAGGCCGGCTGTGTCTCTCAGCCCGTGTGGTGTGTGAGAACGCTCCTCCGCGGAAAAGGCCCGGCTCTGGTGTCCCGCGGGCAGGACTGGGCGCCTGGAAGGCTTGACCTGCACGCGTCCTTGGCTTGGGTGAGACTGCAGGCTCCTCCGGTTTTACGGCAGCGGGAGCAAAGCCACGCCCATTCCGGAAGAAGAGCCAGATTTGCCGTGGCGCGGGGTCTGCCTCGTGAAAGTGCGTCGCGAAGGGCGTTCGGTGGTGGCTGGTGCAGGAGGCGGCGGCGAGCCACCTGGCGGCCTCGTTTCTCCCTTGACCGTAGCCTCGTTCCTCACGGGGTCCGGCTTGTTGTGCGCCACCAGGCTGCCCAGAGGTGGAGCTTCACTGGGAAGCCCGACACTCGTGCGTTTCTGCCCACGGCGTTTGCAGGGGCCTCCAGAAGGCTCCTCTAGGTGGGGCTCATGCTGGCGGGAAGACACTTTCGCACGTTGGGATCATTGTCAGCACCGGCCTTGCTGGGCCTGGTGGTGCTGCTGCCTTTGAGGGTCTCGGCCCTCATGTGGGGCCAGAGCCACGCCCGATGGCGTCACAGCATGCCCGGCCGACTCGCTCTAGCCGGTGCCGGTCGCCAGTCAAGTCCTGGCAAGAGAGCCCGGCGGCGCTCCAGCCCCGGCCCTGGGGTGCGTTTCTGCAGCGGCCAGGCCGGCAGACGCCCCAGGTGGCTCTGTGGAGGCCCGCTGTGTGTTGTCCCGTGAGCAGGAGGCAGGCTGGAGGACCGTGCTGGTGAACCAGCGGACCCAGCGCTGGGACTAGCGGTCTCCCGCCTCTGCTTGGGTGAAGAGCCCAGACCTGCGGGGCCACGGCTGCATGGCCTTGGGGCTGCACCGCGCTGACCGCCTCGTCTGTCCTTGCAGCGACCTGACTAACGGTGCGGACGGGATGCTGGCCACGAGCTCCAACGGGTCGCAGCACAGCGGCTCGCGGGTGGAGACCCCCGTGTCCTGCGTCGGGGAGGACGAGGAGGACGACGAGGACGACTTCCACGAGGACGACGAGGAGGCCTGACGTCCGGCCTGCAGGCGCCTCTGGCTCGGCGTCGGGAGAGTTGTGGGGGGTGACGAGCTCCTGTTAGCCTGGGTTTTCTGTCTCTCTCCGGCCCGCTCCCAAGAGGACCTTGGCCAGCTGTGGAGTTCAGAGCGCACCCCCGGCGAGCAAGGACGGTCCCCGTAGGGCTGGGATGAGCGTGGACATGTGTTCTGGCCGTGTGCTGACGCAGCGCCGCCATTCACTTGTTAGGGCTTTGCGTTCTCATTTTCTGCTTTGTCTAAACTTCATTTTTGCCCCTAGCAGTCTTTGCTGAGTTTGCTGAAGAAATTGTACTTCATCCACCTTGACGGAAGTAAAACGCGCTCCTGTGCAGATGCGCGCCAGATGCGCCGTTTATTTGTAGTGTGTGTGGACGGTGCCCGCCGGCGGCGGCCCTGCGAGGGGCATCCCTGTGTGGGGCCGCAGGGTCCCCAGCCCCAGCAGGCAGCCGAGCTCCGCCTCCCACGCGGGCGCCCCCAGTCCCACTCTGACCTTGTGTTCCCTTAAGTTATACTGACTGTCGTGAGTCCATCGAGATGGAGTGGAGTGTTCTCTCTCTCTCTCTCTCTCTCTCTCTCTCTCTCTCTCTCTCACTCTCTCTCTCTCTCCCTC